CAACGCATATTCCTCACCTGGCACTTTCGAGAAGTATCAAAATAAAATATTGCAGACATCAATTTACCAGACCGTTAAAAAGTCGTAAAAGTTCTTGAAAAATTCAATATGAGAAAACCACAGGGTCTGGTTTGTCTGTCTGAGTCTAATACGTGATGATTTACTCACGCTATTTCATTCTGTACGGACGGGCAATGTCCTTGTGAAGGATTCTCTTATAATCGCTTAGTTTTATCTATTTACAACATATTTGAAAAAGCGATGGAAATTTAAATAGTAAACTTAAATATTTATCTTTTGTTCACCGGTTACTGAGTAATTTTAGCAGATATAACACGATGTCGGTTGTTTATAAAACTAATGGAACTATAACAGGATCGGAGGGTAATAGAAGTCTTTAAAAAATCAGAATATATATGTATATATGAGAAATAAAAGTCATGAAATAATATTTAAAAACCAAAATTATGCACAGCATACAGCAAATTGATTAAATTGTTGCACCATCTTTTTCTTGGTCTACCAATACTTCTTCGTCCATTTGGTGACTTATCTCGTGCTATTCGTATTATTTTATCCTCTGCCATTTTACTGATGTGTTCGTTCCACTCCTGTTTTCGTTTTGTCACCCACCCATTTATGTCTTCTATATTGCATGCTCTTCTTATGTTTTCGCTTCTCTCCCCATCCAACCGACTTTTCCCTGATATTCGTCGGAGTATTTTTATCTCTGTTGTTTCTAGTAGTCATCTCGTTTAAGATGTGTCAGGTCTTGTCTCCGCCGTGCATGTTAATGTAGGTCTAATTCCTGCTTTATAGATTCTTGTTTTTGTATCTTGTCTTAGGTGTTTGTTCTTTCAGATTGTGTAACTAAGAGATCCCGTCGCTTTACTTGCTTTTAAGCTTTGTTGTCGTACTTCTTCTTCAACATCTCCGTAACTAGTTATATATATATTCCCAGATATCTAAACCTTGCTTCCTGCTTTATTATTTTCCCATCAATTTTGATTTTACACCGTAGTGGGTATTTAGATGTTGTCATACATATGGTTTATTCCAAAGATATTATTATATTTTCTTTCTTAGCTGTTGTATTAAAGATCTGTGTTAATCTTTGGAGCGCGTTTTCTGTCTCGGCGACTATTGCGGCGTCTTCTGCATAACATAATTTTAGATTTCTTTGTTCCCCATTCTGTAGCCATGACCTTTACGTACTGCTTGTATTATTTCGTCCATTATTATATTAAAGAGAAGTGGGCTTAACGAGTCACCCTGTCTGACTCCGCTTTGTACTGATATACACTGTGTTATTTTTCCATTTATCTTTGCCTTTATTCTATTATGGAGGTAGATGCTTTCGATGGTTTGTATAATATCGATTGGTATGTTTCTTTTATACAGTAGGTGTTAGACGTCTTCGACTTGGATGCGATCGAAAGCCTTTGTCAGGTCTAAAAACCAGCATTTATTGTAATCAATGGCCTTTTCTGTGATTTGTCTTAGTACAAATACGGTGTTTACGCAGAATCTTCCGGATCTGATTCCTTTTTTTTTGTTTTTGTTAAATTTGCAAATTTACAATCTGCTATTACAAGCTATAAGTAAATGTGATTATTGCAAATACATTAGAGGAGAAATTATCCATTGATAACACTCCCAATACTAACACTAACAAATTAAATTAATGTATGATTATAATTTAAAACTAAAATTGAAATGAAAAGTTATATTAAAATTGAAATTAGTGTATAAAGTCTGTTGGCCACTGTCTCTTCAATCTTCGTCTGACTTCTGGTTGGAGGTGTAGTTGTCTTGCTTCCTAGTTGGGGTGGGTTGGCAGATGTTCTAAATAATTTCTTGTTAGTCTGCTGATTTCGTCTTCAACGAACGGTATACCAGAGTCATCATGCAGAGTTTTGTTACTAACGTACCACGGCGCGTTGAAAATCATTCTGAGTGTTTTGGATTGGATTCTCTGAATGATTTTGGTTTAGAAGGCTTTGCACAGTCCCATAGTTGCACTCCATATGTCCATATAGGCTTTATTATGCACTTATACAATAGAAGTTTATTATCTGTTGATAACTGTGATTTTCGGCCTATTAGCCAATTCATTTGACGTATTTTCATGTTGATTTTTATCTTTTTGGACAAGATGTGTGCTTTCCAAGTGAGTTTTTGATCAAGTGTCATTCCCAGATATTTGACTTCTGTTTTTACTGGTAGTAGTATATTGTTCCGTCTGATTCTCGTACATATGATGTTCCTATTGGTGAATGATATTTGATTAGACTTATTATGGTTAACTTTGATTTTCCATCTATTCATCCAGTCTTGTACTAGGTTCAGGTGTATTTGAAGGTTTCCTGATGCTACTTGGGGGGTCATGATCGATGGATATTATGGCGGTGTCATCTGCGAACATGGCTACTGTGGTTGTATTTGTTGTTGGGACATCAGCAGTGTATATGAGGTACAGGAGGGGACCCAGGATACTTCCTTGAGGGACACCGGATTTTATGGGATAGTAATGAGAGGTTTCTGTAAGGAATTTGACTTGAAAGTAACGTTCTGTGAGGTATGATTTTAAAAGAAGATAGTGAGGGGTGGGAAAGGATGACTTAAGTTTATATAGGAGGCCGTCATGCCAAACACGGTCGAAGGCTTGTTCTATATCCAGGAAGGCAGCAGTGCAAATTTTTTTCTCTTCGAGGCATACATTAATGTTTTTTACAATCCTATGTCACTGTTGTAAAGTTAAACGGGCTTCGCGGAAACCAAACTGGTGGTTTGGGATCACTGAATTAATTTCGATGTCTTCTGAGATTCTTTGGAGCAGAAGTCTTTCAAAGATTTTTAAAATTATTAGAAGTAAGCTGATTGGTCTATATGAAGTAATAGTATTTGGTGATTTATTTGGTTTACTTATCATAATTATTTGTGCAAACTATTGCATCTACAAATTTGTTCTTTTACATTATTAGGAGTAAAGCATTTGATTGGTAGCATCATTGGGCATGGAGTGTCTAAGAAGTTTTTAACTTGTTCTTCGTTATTATGGTTATGAAGTTCAGGTGCACCAAAAACGTGTGAGAGATGTGCAGCAAAGATTGATGCCTTTTCTTGTTTAGTTTTTTCCTAGCTTCCAACGTCTTTCCTTAGACGTGGTATGTGCTGTGTAGGCCTCTTGAATGATTTTGTTACTTTCCAGATGCTGTGGTCTTCTTTTGACAGGCTGTCGATGAATAGTTCAAATGTATCATTCCTCGCGTCTTGTAGAGCAATTTTAAGTTGCCGTGTTAATCTATTGTATTCATTTTTGTCTATAGGATTGCGACTTCTTTGCCATATGCGCCTGGCTCTTCGTTTTTGTGCAACAAGACGTTTTATAGTTTGGGTGAGAATAACCACAGCATTATCGATATCGTCTGGTTGCTTTAATCTTATATTTAAATTTAAATTTTCATTTATGTAAGACTCGAATACATTCCAGTTGGTCTTTGATGTTGTTAACTTAGGGATATTCGGACGTTTTATAATTTGAGTAGATAGTGTTACAATTATGGGAGTATGGTCGGTGGACAGATCCCAGGATGGTTGTATGTCAAAATAATTTAAGGCCATGTTATGAAGGATAAAGAAGTCGAGTAGATCTGGGATTTTGTTTGGATCTCATGTTGTTTACCTGATAAAGTTGTTACTTTATTGATTTTGTTGGTTAGAACTTTTGTGGTAAGCTTGAGTGCGGTGTTCAGTAGATTTATACCTCTATAATTGTTGGGGTCTTCTTAATCTCCTTTCTTGAACATTGGTATTATTATGCTGTTTTTTCATGCGTATGGTATCTTGCAGTGCAATATTAGTTTTTGTATAAGTTTTGTCATCTCTAGACTGATAGTGTGATTCCTTTTTTAAACACGCTTATCCATCGTGGCAGTGATGGCATGCTAAGGACGGAGTGGTATCGTAAACCTTGTTTTAGAAACCGTTTCATAAATTTTCATTCTCAATATCCATCTAAGATGAAAACAAATTTGGTTTTGGCCTTAAAAACTAGGGTTACCAACTTGTCACACATCGAGTTCAGGGACAAGGGACTAAAAAGTTAAGATCTATACTACTAGAGAACTCCTACCTCACAGGGCTTTTAAATAAACTCATTTTGGGTTCCCCTTTTCCTTCGCAGTACGGCGAAAAGGCGAAGAACAAATGGTACTTTCGTCGGTAAATCTATTTCACTATAGAGGAGAACCTTCTAATGGTGGCGTCGGATTTATGATAAATAAAAAAACACACGAAGAATATACTTACAATTAAAAGCATAAGTGATAGAGTTATTAATCTTATCTACAAAGTAAACAAAAAAATTCGATTAAAGATCATCCAGGTATACGCACCTATCAGTGCCCACACAGACGAAGAAGTTGAATGGTTCTACGATGATGTTAATACTGCGCTAAAAGAGGTAACCACCAACTATACCATACTGATGGGAGAGCTAAACACAAAAATAGGCCACAAGCAGGATGATTCGGAGTTTGTACTTAGACCTCACGGATATGGCGACAGAAACGAAAGAGGTTAAACTCTTTTAGAATTTCTTCTGCAACACAAACTATATTTCATGAACACTCATTGCTCATGAGATGTAAGTTGGAGTTGGCTCATGATCAGGAGTTGTAAGTTATAAACTATTAGATCTGTATTTCTTATAAACTCTATGTCATCTATTGTATTTTAGAGAACTAATGAATCTTTAGAAATATAAAGCGAAACGTCTTCTATAAACTTATGGAGTAGTTGATTTCTTGTTTTATTTTGTCAACCTGAATGACCGAATAAACCTCTGAATTTACTAGTTGAATACTTTATTATATATATATATATATATATATATATATATATATATATATATATACATACATACATACATACATAATACATAATAGCTTTTTATAAAAACTATAAAACACACTGTCAATAAATAGTAAATCACTTACCTTTGTGTTTTGTAGTGCTCTGTATATCGTTATTGTGAAACGACACGGTCGAGGTGAAGTTGACTACAGAAGCGTACTGCGTTTTTTCCCTAAATGCACCCTGGCTGAATTCCACCCAAACAAAGATTATTATTGCACCCAGCACCAATATGGCGCAGCTAGCTAATACTTGTTTCTTTAAGAAGCGCTTAGTCATTGCTAATACGTCACCAAAGTAACTGAAACAAAGGAAACATAAATTAATAACTACTAGCTGAGTGAATGAGGATTTCTGGCAATCTTTTGGTACGTATTTTTATAAATGGAAGAACTCTTTACTTAATTTCGTAACCCTTCATGAAAGTATCGATTTTAGTGATAGTGTGTTAAAATTTTGTAAGTTCAAACAATGGACACTATAGGTCTACTTCCACCAAGAAAGATGAAGGCAGGCTATTGGAATCCTGAGTAGAAGAATTGGCAGTATAAAAAGTTTGAAATATTTGTAAGTACAAAAAAATTAAAATTCCCTGGGTGGCTCATAGCTAAGGAGAGTTTGGCAGCCAAAAGGAGATGTTTGCCAGTCAAAAATGTTTGTTAGGACATTTTTGATTGGCAGTCCTGTTTTTATAAGGAAAACCAGGGAAGCAGTTTTCGCTAGGGAGCTAATTAAAGTTAATAGTTATAGTAAAGTAGAGAAGCAAATTGTTGAGAGGAGATAATTAATTGAACTAAACTTGTATAATTTTCTTCTGTTAATTTTATGTGTAAAAGCTATATAATTTAGAAGAAACATTTATTTCTTAGGGATTTGTTTATTGGTATGAAAATGTTCAAAGGTATTTTGTCATTATATTTTAATTGTATTCCACAGATTTGAATTGATTGATTTAATTCTTTCTACTCCTCTTATTAACGAACACTATAAAAGATGAACTCAAATATAGCTGAACTCAAATAAAAATTCTGAGAAAAGAAAATTTATAATTATTGGGTGTCTGTAATAAAAATTATTCGCATATTCACATTAAACCACATTAAAATTTTTTGGTTTTCGAAATATCTGTTAATTAATCAGTTAATTTGCTACTTGATTTCGAAATTACAATATCATAATAAGAGACATTTGAAATAATAATTACGGATTTAAAATAGTGTTATTTATTAATTTAAGATGTTTAATTTATATATAAGTTTACATTCTGATCTGAGAAGCCTAAGTTTCCATAAAATTCTCGATAGAAAAGTAAAGAATTATCTAAAACAAAAAGAGAAATCATACGATTTCTACCTGGCAAAATCGAATTCAAATATAAGCCGCCGTGCTCCCTAAAACTTGCGAAGCAAACAGCTTGATGAATAATTTGGCAAGGGAGTCTAAAAATTGCACTCCAAATGCCGTTCATCATGGCCTATATTCGTGGTGAATTCGATTTCTGGTACTCCAAATGAAGTAAATAAACAAAACAAAATGACGGTTTTAGATTTTGATTTGATACAGAGCAGCAACAAGCCGCATATACGTATTTTGATCTCTATAGATCTCCTCAGTACGGTATAGTTTATACTCCATTATCTAGAACTTTAAAATAAGACGTCAATAGAAAGAATTTAACCTCTTTTCCTAGTAGAATATTAGCGAACATAATAATTCAAATATATTTTCTTTCAAGCATATTCGTGAATATTGAAATGATATAAATAGGCTGTGATTTGGAGGATAAAGGACAGTACTTCGTAGTCAGTATGGCAGTATTCAGTGGTCAATAGTCGGTATTTAATATTAAGTATTAAGAGAGTATTAGTTGGAGATTAAAAATTATATTAACTATATGGTGATTGGAGATTAGAACAAATTAAAAATTATAATATTTATATGGTGATTAGAGATTGGAAGAGAAAAAAAGATTATTAAAAAGAAGAATAAACAAGAAAGCAATAAAGAAGGAAGGATATTTTACCGATTTATAAATGCTATTAAGAAGAAAAATATTTTAAAATGGTGAAAGCTGATAACTATAACATTGTGGTGTATTTGGCAAAGCAATTTCACAAAAAAAGGATAACCGAGGCTGATAACGAAAACATTGAGTGGTGATTAAAATCTTTATTTTGGAAAACAATTTCGTGTGGGCATTCAGTGACAGACAGGTACCAAATTTTGTAATTTAATTATTGTAATAAGAATTTTAATTTAAAGATAGGTTGTTTTAAACTTATATTGTCTATATTACATATATATGTGTGTTTCATAATAATTATAATAAAGATAATTTGAAAAAGTGCTTACAAACTAATTCTTTGAGAACCGCGACAAAAAAACTATATATATATATATATATATATATATATATATATATATATATATATATATATATATATATATATATTGTTACGATAATTATGGCGTTTATAACTATCAATATATTATGACTAATTCTGTTTTCTGTTCCAGTAAATTCGAAGTTGTTTACAGAAACCTTTAGACCCTAATTTTATGAGTAATCCACGTCTCGAGGCTTTTCAAACAGTTGAAAAACGAGTCGAGCGCCTTCACCAAAATACGAGATTATTCAAGAAGTTCGCCGAATTTTCTAGATAACAACAGTTGTGTATATAAATGAAAGATTTTTTTATTTGAGTCAGTCATAATAAGATCGGGAAGCGCGATTTACTTGTAACGAAACGTAATAAATAAATTTGTATTTAATAAGCTATTTAATAAATTAGTAATTAGTTATCGTGAGTTTTAATAAATTAGAATATAGACAATAAATTAGAATAAAGACAAATAAATTAGAACAATATAAATATACAATAATATATATATATATATATATATATATATATATATAATATATATATACACTTCACCTAATTTACATAATGATATATATATATATATATATATATATATATATATATATATATATATATATATATATATATATATATAGGGATATCTTGGGTTTATTAGTCAAGACTGGCCTTCAAGTAGAACTCTTTAAGGTTTGTTAAGCTTTCGATTTGAATTTGCAATGAAGGTTTGCATAAACATAGACACTTCCTCTGTCAAACTAACCTAAAATAAATATAAAAAATAGAAGAGACATGTTATAAGTTTTGACAGCACGAAAAAGAAAATCAAATTTAATAATGTCATTATGTTAATTAATTTTGCTAATTTTAAAACACAATCCTCACAAGGGTAAGCCTATTGAACAACTTCATTTTTTTAATGTAGTTTTTTATGTTAATTTTTAGTACGTTTTGAAAAAGAGTACAATAAACTCGAAAGCTTAACAAACCTAAAAGAGTTTTACTTGAAGGCCAGTGTTGACTACTAAACCCAAGATATCCGTACATATTACTCACGTAGTCACTAAAGCCCTTTCTAAGAAAGAAATATATATATATATATATATATATATATATATATATATATATATATATATATATATATATATATATATATACAGCAATTCTACGGTTTTATAAAGAAGTATATTTCAATCGACAAAATTCGATTTTACGTTTGATTCGTCTTTGTGTTTGGTCTTTTTTAACACGCATGATGACGTCAAAGGAAGCAAATGAGAGTGCGAGCTGAATTAATTAGCAAATGCTGAATGAAATTAAAAATCCACGATTTACGACTGGACGTGTTAGTTCGGTCTTATTATTATTTTCCTGGTTGTATCGTGTATTTAGTATTTACTGGAAGTACGCCTATTATGAATTTTCACTTCCTGAAGTCGGGAATTGTGTACTATAAATTATTTTCTGTCAGTTATATTTGGAATTGCATCCTGTATGTAGTTTTATTGCATTTATACACAATGTTTCATTAATATGTACGAATATTATCATACGAGCCAATAAAAGAACACTAAATATTTAATATCACTCAGACAAGAAGTATTTGCTTTATTGTATTCGCTACTAGAAGAAACTTCGACGAGATATATACCAAAAGTGCTTAAATCAATATATAGAACAATAATCTAGGAAACCAGTTACAAAGAATGATTGGTATAATTTAAGAACATGTTTTACTACATGTTAATACTAAAATCTCCAATATACAATAAGAAACCATAATTAAAAATAATTGTCTGACCATATTTTCTTAACGCGCCCCATCCCTAATGATATTGGCGATCATCATGGCCCATTTGACTCTATCTGCAGCCGTTCTCAAAAGTTCTATTGACTTTTTTCCACTCCATTGTCTCAGATTCTTCAACAATGACGTGCATCTTCCCCCCGGTCTTCTTTTGCCTTAGGCCGCCACTACACATCGGCAGACGCGTCTGCGGACGCATGTGTAGAAGAGCCAAAGAAAACCGACAACAATTGGATATATTGCAGACGCATCCGCGGACGTGATATATAAACAACAGATGATCATATTACCCCATATACACATCTCCAGATGCATACGTAGAGGTTGTCCGCAGACGCGTCTGCCGATGTGTAGAGGAGCCATTAAACCTTCCCTTGTGATGACCAGCTGCATCAATTTGTATTTCTCGTTTCTTAGCATGTGACCAAAGTAGCTCATTTTTCTTTTCTTTATAGTGTTGAGTATTTCTTTATCTTTTTTCATTCTTCGTAGCGTTTCTGCATTTGTTATGTGTTGTGTCCGAGATATTTTCCACATTCATATATAATACCACTTTTCAAAGTTAATTAGTCTTTTCTCTGTCTCTCTGTAATTGTTTAGGTCTCAACTCCATACAACAGGAGAGAAAACACGTAAAACTCTAGTTCTTATTTTAATGTTGAGTTTTCCATTGCATAATATTGCTTTCATCTTATTAAAAGCACTTGTTCTTGCTTACCACCATGATTTTTTTTTTTATTTGTATTCAGTGGCATTCCATACCTTTCGCAGTATTGGGTTATGCGATTAACCAAGATCTGTAGTCCTTATCTTCTGTCCGCAAGGAGTATTGTATTATCTGAGTCTCTAAGATTATTCAGAAGTGCTCCATTAATAAATATGCCTTTATTTACGTCTTCTAATGGCTCTTTAAACAATTGTTCTGAATACATATTAAAAAGTAAAGGGGAAAGCACACATCCTTGTCTTACTCCACGATTTATAGGTATAGGTAATGAATTTTGACAAGAGCTATGACCT